CCAAAGCTTTCGGCATAGTCACCTAGGTGGGGTGGCATCACTGGGTAATAAGTATCCGGGACGAGCCCTCCTTTAATGCTTATTTATATTGGATCTTCACTATACAAACACACCTTCTCTAATAGGAATCCATCCTCGCCTCCTTTCACAGAATCAGGGGAAAAAAAAGTATTTGTTTTTTGTTTTCCTTGCGGCTCAGGATTTCTCGGCTAGGTGAGAATGACGTAGCCCCCGGGCTCCTGCTGCTTCCTGGGATAATTGCATCACGTGTCCCGAGAAGCTTTGGGTCATTCTATCGACAATAGGCACAAGTTGCGTCATCAGGGGGCCGGATGTCTCTTCCTGGTTCTGGTGCATGTGTCATCAGACTTGCTGCCTCTTAGTTCTTGCCCATGCACTCATTCGCATGTGCCGTGACATCATCAGGGGGCAGCTAGCCCCTTGATGGCACAACACATCTGTAAGAACCAGAAAGCTACAGCCGGCCCCCTGATGGTGTTTTGCGGCGCATGGGCAAGAACTAAAGAGAGGCAGCCAGTCTGGTGGCGCAAGCGCCAAGAAGAGAGAGCTGACCCCCTGATGATGTGATGCTTGCACCAAAATTAGGAAGAGACAGACATCCTCCTGATGTGATGCATGCACCAGGAGGTGGCCGCACCCTCCTAATGACGCAATGCATGCAACTGAACCAGGAGGAGACGGCACCCTCCTGATGATGCAATGCATGCACCAGAACCACGAGGAGACGGCACTCTCCTGATGATGCAGTGCGTGAGCCAGAACCAGGAGGAGATGGCACCCTCCTGATGGTGCGTGTGCCAGAACCAGGAGAAGACGGCACCCTCCTGATGATGCAATGCATGCGCCAGAACCAGGAGGAGACGGCACCCTCCTGATTATGCAATGCATGCGCCAGAACCAGGAGGAGACGGCACCCTCCTGATGCAATGCATGAGCCAGAACCAGGTGGAGACGGCGCCCTCCTGATATTGCAATGCATGAGCCAGAACCAGGTGGAGATGGCACCATCCTGATGATGCAATGCATGTGCCAGAACCAGGAGGAGACGCACTCCCCTGATGCGATGCATGCATCAGAACCAGGTTAAGACAGCCCTCTCCCAATGACGTCTTGCAGGACCTGGTGTGGAGTGGAAGTTCACTACTGGACGTCGCTGGATTCACTGGGGGGTGTGAGTGTTTTTTGAGCATAACCTAGCAAACAAGGTAAGAGGGGAGATTGGAAAGAAAACCAAAATGAGGTGATGGGGGGAAGTTCATTTTTATTTATAAAAGAAAGGTGCAATACCTGATAAAGATACTAGGTATAGATCGTAACAAGTAATGCAGGATACATACAATGCTGACTGTCAGGTACACAATATGGGTATTAAGTCATAGAGCCAAGATGTTGGTTGATATTTACCTAAATATGAAAGATGCCTGCAAAAAGTTGCCGAACTGATTGGGGATGATGGGAACTTTATATGGAGGGCCAGGAATTTGGACTTTGATCTTTGTCTTGAAGGGTATGGAGCACCGGTAGGGGCATTGTCAGAAGGGAGTGGAGTGTTTAGTCTGCTTAGGCTGGCCACACACGTAAATATTTCTGTCACTAAGCCCAGCAGGCTTTACCTTGTAATGGAAGTTATTTTCTACCATTTGGTTTCCATTTTTTTTTTTTGGTAAAGCCCGCTGTTACGTTTTTACAGGTAGGACGTTGTTGCAGGTTTTAATTTTACAATTTGGTGTACTGGTTCGGATGAGTACCACATATCCCTCTCATTGCTTTTTTGGTTGCGTTTTTAAAATGGTTGTAGCCTTTCATTAGTTCTTGTGAAGGCCATAAACTTAAAGTAAAGCCTAGTAAATGATTACAAACAATCTGGTTCTATGCAGAAACACGCAGGAGGAACAAACATTCATAAAACCCATATTGGCTATCCTCACACACGTTGGGTGTAATAATTTTAATTATATAATTTGTATATGATAAATAGATGAAATGCATTTTTAGTGTAAATGGCTTATGTTTTGTGAAAAAATTAAGGTAAGCAAAACTGCACAATTTTCTATTTCTTAATATGTGATTAACCTAATTTGGGTCATTTTGTAGAGTTTGTTTGAGGTGTGCTGAAAACAATTTGGGTATTTGATCAGATATTATTATTATTATTAATATTGTAATACAGGATTTATATAGCGCCAACAGTTTGCATAGCGCTTTACAATATAAGGAAGACATTACTGTTACAAAATCAAGACAAGGTGTAAGGAGGGCCCTGCCCGTTAGAGCTTACAATCTATTGTTTTGATCAACGTTTACACAACTGTCATTGGACATAAAAACCAGCGCTACTTAAACAGAGTTCACAGAATATAAAGTTCAGGGGCTGCTTTGTCAGTAATTCAGGTCTGTTATATGCATGTGATAAATGGCAGAGGAGGGTTCACATCATGATATGAAATTGTAGACAGCTGCCTGGCAGCAAAGGGGTTAAGGAATAGGACCCTCTCCGCAGCATATGCGAGGATCAGCGAGTTGCAAGGGGGCAGTGGATTAGGCAAAGCTCAGATTAAGGTAATTTGTGTAACATTCTGAGTGTGGCACAATTGCAGTGCTTCCTGTTAGCAGTTGGAAGCCTGCGGAATGCACTCATGACAAATCCATGTATAGGAAAACAAGACTTCCTTTCAGGTACATTGATCTGCAGATAAATCCATCCAGCACCAGGCCCTCTATGCCTCAGTAATGGAATGCATGACTAACCGTGATACTGAAGTAGCTGGTATAAGGATACAGCTAGTACTCTCCAATAGACCTCAATCTTGTATATAGCGCCTACAGTTTGCACAGGTCAAAGTAGAAAAATCGTATAGGTGAAGGAAGCCAAATACCGACATTTCGGGGCAACCAAGGACACAAGCGCCCAGTGTTCTCAGAAAGCTCTCATTTGTGTAGAAACATTTACAATCTTTTCTTCCATCAACATGATCACAATTTGGGCTCCAGAGGTGATGCAGAAATGGATTCCCTGAGTACCGTGATGGTATTTTTATTCATACTGTCTGATCTGGAAAACCTGTGCCCATCGGGTACCTGGAGATGTATTTTAGGGCGCATACAAAGTTTTTAACAATTTTTTATTCTAGAACACTGCACAGCGGCTTATTAACACATTGTTATACAGGTATGTTTACAGAGGAAAGAGAAGCTAATTTTTATAACTTGCAAGGGGGTGGTGTTTATAGGAGAGGCCTATTACTTCCGGTGGACGATCAATGTTCCCCATAGCCAGCAAAAGGGTGTGAATAGGTCCAATTTTTCTTGGGGGAGGGGGGGGGGTGGAGTCGAGAATTAGAATCCCTGTTGGGATTTGCTGCTAAGCGGGACTCTGGTGAAGAGGTTTACGGTCATGGTGACAATGGTTTCACCAGACAAGAAGTGAGTAATCCTCCAACCAGAACACAGACCGCAATAAAAAAAGTTCTCTGGATTGCTTACTTCCCCCTACAATAAGAGTAATAGTGGTAATAGTAATAATAATATTAATAATGTAGTAGTAGTAGTAATAATTAATCTGATTTGCTGTTGGCGATTCTTCCCCACTTCCTGTCTGGTAAAAGTGTGGCCACCATTGCCAAGACAATAAGTACAGATGAAAATCTCTCTAATGGACCACCGGTTAGTAATAAATAGCTGAGTGGTTCTAATCCTTCCCATCCTAGTAAAAATAAAATAAGGGCTGCACATATGCTTTAAGGGTCCATTCTCACCTAATGCGTTGGGACTGTGCTGGCTCTCTTTCAGTGCAGCCCCAACATAAGGCAGTTTGATTTGTCATGGACGGGCACAGTTCATACCACAGCGCTGCACTGGTGTGTACTGAAAAAAAAGTATGGCTTGTAGTACTTTTCTTCAGCGCAGTGGGTCGCAATATGGTACAACCACATCGCACCGTGCTGTGTCCATCAAACTTAATGACTTCAATAAAGTTTGACCTTAAATTCCCTAAGTTCACTTAAATCACAGCACCCTATTGGTGCAAGAGTGCATTCTTGCGGGATCTTGAGCACCTGGGAGGGGCAGCAGTGATGTCATCGGGAAGTGGGGTCCAAGGTTTTTTGTTTTTTTCTCACCCTTAATGAAAGGTCTGGTTTGACTGAAACATGCATCCAATATTCAGATATATCTAAACTATATCTAAAGTTCAGTTCAGAAGAATCTTATAGGAGTAGGATTATGATAAAGGGGTCTTGATTTGCAAGCATGTGGGTCGCAAAGTCTGCCGCATGGCCCGTTGGGTATGGTTCTAAACAGAGTACCAGAACTAAACTTGTATGGCAAGGTCTAAGTTGAGAGCAGCTTACTTGACAAAGACTTGCGTGCACTTTAATAGGGGCTCATTGGCAACTTATCCCTTCACAGTGGCGCCCACCCCCCGGCTTTTTTGTTGAGGGAAGCCTTGAAGCATACGAATGGCTGACAACAGTCTCACGACCGCAATGTGACAGTCCTGAACGGCTGAGAAGAGAAGCCAATTGCAGTGTGTGTGACCTGCTCCCTATACCCAGACATACCAGGCATTTTTCTTTAGCCAGATGGCTACCAACTGAGGAGGGCGGGTTGTGCAAGGGGTCTGGTCTGCTCAGGTGCTGCATAGCAGGATGGGTTGCCGCTTAGTTCTCTGCTAGTTTTAACATGACTCAATTTTGCTGTTTGCAGCTAGTGGCTGTAAAGATGGACTGGCGCCCCGATGAAGAAGGGTTACAGCAGGTTCTGCAGCTTCTGAAGGATTCCCAGTCACCAGATACGGCCACCCAGAGAGTCGTCCAAGATGTATCCTTTACACTGAGAACGTGTATGCCTTGCAACAGATCAAGTTTGTTATATTGTGGGCCAGGTAGCCCCTTTCACCCATGATTATTCATTCTCGGCACTAATGGCTTGTTGCCTGTATCTCTTGGTGCACAGATGTGAGTGTGTTAAGCAAATGTGCACAACAAGAGCTTTGTGAAGGTGTGAGGTTAGGTTAGCTCTAGGATCAGGGGTTAGAGTGTTTACTTTAAAGATGATCTATAGCCAACCCAAATAAGTTATTTTTTATTTGTTTGCCCAATTTATATTGTGAAATATGTTTATTACTACTGTAATGTGAGAATATGTTTATTCTATGGTGTCTGGTTCATAGCACCTTAATATTATACCAAACTGATGAGACAACACAGATGTTCTTGTCTGCTGATTGTACAGAGTTGCCATTATCCCCTCCTATGCAGCCACATAGAACTTTGTGTCTGACGCTACAGGAGACCTCAGAAGGCATGGGGGGTGGGGGGTTTGTGCAGATCTTGCATGGACCCAGACATTATTACAGGCACGTCTGATGCATAATTATTATTAATGTACACCTTCATAAAGACTATCACTTGGTAATTAGCCTCCAATGGAATCAGCCAGACCACAAGACCAAATGGGCTGCACAATAGTTCTGGAAGTGATGCAGATGTTCAGAACCTGATATACAATGATGGTTTTCGTATTCATACTCTCTGATCCAGCGAATTGATAGCAATGTGTGGTCCACCTGTCCTCGGCATGTGTCATAGAAGGCCAACCTGTCTCCTTTGCTTTGATGTGGTCAGTAGAGATCAAGTGACAAGACCTGAGGAGGATCAGAGTTCAGACTGGCTGATCCTTCAAGAGAAATTGTATGTATAAACTCTAAACAGTTTGGGTACTTGAGCATTTCAGCTCCGGTTACCCTAATTTATGACGAGGCAAATTGTCTTTTCTTGCGTTGGGGTTGCTCTGGAACAAAATTCTGGACAAGATTGTGAATATGCCTTTTAAAGTTTTATTATAGATTGGCTACTTTACTACTGTAAGGTTTCATGTACTTGCATGCATATAGGTAGGCTGGTAGAATACCAATTTCATAGAAGTACTTAGTGATCCTTCACCTATATCTTTAAAATAAAAAACACACCTTTAGAAACATTTAGCAATGACAATCTACAAACGCATACTTCTAGATAATTGCCAGCTTTGTGTTCTTTGCATACCTCATCATTAAGGGCAGATCACTAGCTCTCCTTTTACTACCTGGATTTTCTGGCACATGTGACTTTCCCTGAGTTCTCATGAGATTTTCCAGCAATGCTCTGCTGATGAGGCAATCCCAGTGTGCATTGCTTTGGCAATCCTTTTTGCCCTTCGAAGCAGGAAGTGAATGCTCTGCAAATGCAAGTATTTAGAAATCACAGCATTTTATACCTGACATGTCTTTTATTAATCATCACACATAGATGCATTGAGTGTAATTGTCGGCTTTAAGCCTTCAAGCAGCTCTACAGAAGCTGTTTGCTAAGCCAAATTCAAACCTGGATATCCCTGGCTTTAAAAATCTCCTGTCTTATTAAAGGACTCTTTAGTTGAATAGTTTTTCTGGCTTGGTGGCTTGCTTCCTCCTTTCTAATATCTCCAGCTCCCTTGGCACTGTTCAAGCCAGGAAAACACTGCTGTGCCGCTAGCATCTTTGATCTTTGCTCTGTTACTGAATAAAGCTTTGTGTTCCATCTGTAACTCCTTCCTGTTTATGTACTTGTGAGCAATATGGTCCTGAACTCGTTCCCAGAAACTGAAGCAGCTGAACCAATATCCGGATTTTAACAATTACTTGATCTTTGTGCTGACGCGGCTTAAATCTGAAGGTGAGTGTTTTTGTTTTTCTCCCATTGTGTTTAGCATGATTTTATCAGTACCCTTTGATCTGTGGGTAGTAATCAGACATACATCTGCAAGGAAAAGTGGCACAAGCAAATCTTTCCAGTCAAAAAAAAAGATTTTTGGCTGTTACAAGAGATTTTTGGTGGCTGTGATTTTATGCCAAGAGTGCGATGTTTAGTAACTGGCAGGATGCCAGTTTTAACGTACGTGTATTTTTTAATTGGCTTTTGTCTGATTTTTCTGTTCACTTTATCAAGAAAATTGTACTTTTCAATGACTCTAGCTTAAAGCCGAAGAGCAGCTAAAGAGAAAAATAAAAATGAATAGCACAGGTAAAGAAAAAGGCCATTTTGCTGCAATACTTGCCTTCAATATGAAGCTTCAATATGAATATGAAGCTGCCCCTGTAGTATTTTTTTTGAATGATGACCAGTGCCATTTAACCCAATTCCCTGAGACCACTCGCTGTGTTAATGCACTCGTGTCATTATTTGAACACCGTTCAACAAAGCAGTAAGGACGGCCCCGCCACTACCGGAAAAAGTATTAAAGACTCCTAACATTATATATGTGAGTTAGCTTTGCCTGTGCAGTCTGAGGATACCCAGGTCTTTGTTGGACCCTGATAGTATCAGTGACATGGCTGGTATATCGTAGTAATAAATGTACACCTTCGTAAAAAATAAAGTCCCTTGGTCAGAAATATCAGTTGGACGCAGCAAGCCCTCATTTGCATGGATTGTACAGTAGTTCTGGAAGTGATGCAGATATTCAGGACCTGATGTACAGTGATGGTCTCTGTATTCATACTGTCTGATCCAGGATAGAAGGTAGAACTGTCTTCTAATGTGAGCGTCATTCGGCAAAGCAGTAAGGGCAGCTCCCCCACTACCAGAGGAGGATGACCCGTAACATTACTGGACTGGTCATAAAATAGATGGCTCTGTTAGTACTTCTATCCATGTACCTTGTACCCCACAGGCCTCTGACGTTTACAGATGCATGGAAAGTGGCTTTTGTGTAAATGCTGAATATAATGGCTGAGTATACGGTCCTACCTAAAAGACTAATTTTACTAAGGGTTCCTGGGCTGACTTTCTGTAATTTGGACTTCCAAATTCTGTTTAATTTCCTGTCTTGCAGTGTCTTTTAGCTTTATTTAAAATGTCCTCTGTCTTCATTTGTAGATGAACCCACGAGATCTTTGAGTGGTTTGATCCTCAAAAACAATGTGAAAGCCCATTACCAGACCTTCCCTCAGCCGGTGTCTGAGTTCATCAAGCAGGAATGTCTGAACAGCATCGGGGACGCTTCGTCGCTCATCAGAGCCACCATCGGTAAATGACCTGAGGGTTTTTAGTGTTGGTCTGGAAGTGATGCAGATATTCAGGACCTGATGTGCAGTGATGGTTACTGTATTCATACTGTCTGATCCAGAGCACAAATGGCTACATGAACTTCTTTAACGTTAACACTAATAGTCTTCATTAAAAAATGAAGACGTGCATGCAGGGATCTGGGCCTACCTGTCCAATTCTTTTGATGATATTTAGGACAGGATTGACATAACGGCCACTGAGCTCACATCTTTAAACTTAAAGTGACACTATACTCAGGAGTTAAGCCTTATAAATGAATTCAAGTACCTTAACTATGAACAACAATGTACCTTATTTGTGTATCACTCGACTGTAGATCCTCAAATCATCTCTGAATTGGTGCTGACACTGTCCTTCCTACTTTTGTTCTCCATGGTCCCTGTGTGTGTGTGTGTGTGTGTGTGTGTGTTGTAAAGTAGTCAACGCTCCAAGCTCACTCCTGTGATGGGCTACAATCTCATTACAAGTCAGTAAACTAAATACGAGACTGTAGTCCATCATAGGAGTGAGCTTGGAGCGGTGACTACTTTACAATACACACACACAGGGACCATGGAGAACAAAAGTAGGAAGGACAGTGTCAGCACCAATTCAGAGATGATTTGAGGATCTACAGCTGAGTGATACAAAAATAAGATACATTTTTGTTAATAGTTAAGGTACTTGAATGTATTTTTAAGATTTAACTCTAGTTTAGTGTCACTTGACGTTGGCTTCAATAATTCCATAGTTGAATTCCATAGTTCACGGAGTGTGCACTGAAATGGTTTGGCAGTGCTTTCTTGTATCAAGTAGGTGGTGCTGCCTGTTCTTTCTCCCTTTTCTCTCTCTCCTGACTCTTATGTAACAGTGTCTGGTTATTATAAATGCAATTGAACTCTATTTTGCTATTGTGCTCCTGTTTCCCTCCAGGTATTCTCATCACCACGATCGCATCCAAAGGGGAGTTGCAGATGTGGCCAGAACTTCTACCTCAGCTCTGCAATCTTCTGAATTCAGAGGATTACAACACATGTGAGGTACGGAGCTGAGACCTCTCATTCTACCATGCCTGACCGGTTCCAGACGTTGATGGCAAACTTGTGGATGAGTCTTGAGTCACAACATGCTCCATTGATTTTTTGTTTTGTTTATGGAAATCTGTGCTATGATTTCTGCCTTACACTTGATTGTAAGAAATAATGTGTCCATCCTTTTTATCATTGTATCAGAAGGCAGCGGCTGCCTTGACCCCTCAGGCTCCGCCTATAGCAAAGATATCAATTTTGGCTGATGTTCACTGACCAATCCCCTTTTAAATTTTGCTCATTTTTGTAAATCTTCCGCTTTATTTTTAAAGGGTGCTTTTGGCGCTCTTCAGAAGATCTGTGAGGATTCCTCTGAGCTCCTGGACAGCGATGCTCTAAACCGGCCGCTCAACATCATGATCCCCAAGTTCCTCCAGTTCTTCAAGCACTGCAGCCCCAAAATCAGGTTAGTCACATTAGTAATTCCGGTGACTTTGTGTAACTTTTACTGGCCCCTTATGTGTAACAATTTGTGTACTCCTTTGTCCTAGGTCTCATGCTATCGCCTGTGTCAACCAGTTTATCACTGACCGAGCACAAGCCCTCATGGACAACATTGACACCTTCATTGAGGTGAGACATGCACGCTACATTCCCTGTTTACTTTAACATTTGACTATTTCTTTATCCTCCAGTCTCTTTCTTTAACATGTTGACGTTTATACATCTCAATAAAGTAGACCAGTAGTCTTGGTGGAATCAGTCACTTGATGCCAAAGCTCAACTGATGTGATCTCGGCCCAAGAAAAAGATCAGTGATCAGGCAGAGCCAGTGATTCACTGGTGCTGACACTACTATTTGGCTCAAATCATGTGACCATTACCCTTCATTTTGTTATGTGACCAGAGCCAAAGATGACCCAGAACAGTGGCTGTAATAAAAGGGGTATTTACGTATTCTTTTAGTGCTGTTGGGTATAGGACAGCAGGATTTTTTTTTTCTCAATGTATGTTGTGGACACAGTGAGGGGAATTTATGAAAACTGGAAAAGTGTATTATGGCCGCTGGAATACTTTTAAGAACAAACAAAAGTTGGGAGGGGTGAGGAATTTATCAAAGCTGGAGCAGACAGAATCTTGAGCAGTTGCCTATGGCAGCCAATCAGCGTCCACCTTTTTATTTTCAACTTAACGGAACAAACTGAAGAGAGAAGCTAATTGGTTGCCAAAGGCAACTGCTCCAGTTTCTGATATGCTGGAGGGCACTAATAAGTGTTTCAGGTTGTCAGACGCCTGTTAGATTACAGGGAGATCTTCTATTTTGTTGGTGCTGAATGAGGATCTTGGTAGGTCCCCAGCAGATTTGTGTGTAGTCTGCAGGATCTTTCCCTGTTGTTATTACTGGTCTTTCAGCTGTTAGTCTAGATGTAATGCAAAGACTAATGAAGTGACCAAGTTCCTGCTTTCTTTTCCTTGTTCCCTAATATAACACATTGGGGAGTATTTATATTTATCAAAACTGGAGCAGACAAATTCTGGAGCAGATTTGCGCTGCATCCAATCAGCTACTTTGTATCTTTTTCAGATCTTACCTGAGCAAACTGAAGAGAGATGCTGATTGGTTGCCACGGGCAACAGCTCCAGATTCTTTGTGCTCCAGTTTTGATAACCCCATCCCCCCCCCATTGTACAACAATACAAGAAAGGGGGGTGGACCTTGGGTGGGACACCAGTGATGTGGTACAAGTTCCAATAAACTATCGCAGCGGAATTTGGGGTGCGGCAAGATTTTCTGTAAGAGATATTCTATGTCTTCTACTTTGCTGCAGCAACTTTTTGCACTAGCCGTGGACGAGGACCCTGAGGTTCGGAAAAACGTGTGCCGGGCACTTGTTATGTTGTTGGAGGTGCGGATAGACCGGCTGCTTCCTCACATGCACAGCATCATCCAGGTATGGAAGGGAGCCTTTTTATATCTCTTTGCTTTGTGTAGTGGCAGAAATGGTGAACCGTGTGAACTTCTCCTTTCAGTATATGCTGCAGAGGACGCAGGACAGCGATGAGAATGTGAGTCTGGAAGCCTGTGAATTCTGGCTGACACTGGCTGACCAGCCCATTTGTAAGGACGCCTTGTCAAATCACCTCCTGCAGTGAGTTCTTTACACTTATTATGGCCATAAATACAGAAACTGTAGTATTGTTGTATTAACAGCCCCTTGTCCTACAGATCTTGCATAAATCTCGGCTCTGCTTGCATCCGTGCGATTACCTAGCATTTAAAGGCTAAGTCCACCTTTTGGGCCATGTTTCAGTTTACACTCCTAAACGTCCAAACGCTGCCCCTCCCCTAATATATGCAAAGAGATAATTTTATCCTTTTCTTGCATATATAACATTGTCATGACCTCTGATATAAATACTAAACCATACCACTGTGCAATCAAACAGGGAAATGATTGAAATATACACCTGTCTTTTATTTTGGGCTGCCTTACCTGTTGGCAGATTTATAATGCTGCTCAGCAAATCTTGTGATTTGCACACCTCTACCACAAAGAGGAATCCACCATTTTCTTTGTTTTAGCCTTGCAGCCTTTTCTGTCAACTGCCGACTTACTGGATAGTAACAAAGTGGGTCCAGTTAGCAGGCACATAAATGGAGAATTACTAGCACTCTAAAATGTAAAACTATATTTTCTATGTTATTATTATACAGGATTTATATAGCGCCGACAGTTTGTGCAGCGCTTTACAATATAAGGAAGACCTTACAATCACAATACAATTCAAGACAAGATGGTAAGGAGGGCCCTGCCCCTGAGGGCTTACAATCTAAAAGGGAGGGGGAAGTGATACATGAGGAGGGAGCTGTGTAGGGATGATTGTTTGAGAAAGTGATTGTTCAGTGGTTAGGTTGAGGTAGGATAGGCTTCCCTGAAGAGATGAGTCTTTAAGGGATTGCCTAAAGGCAGTCAGTGTGGGAGATGGACGGACAGGTTGGGGTAGAGAGTTCCATGGGATGGGAGAGACTCTAGTGAAGTCCTGGAGGCGTGCATGGGAGGCGTTGGAGGGAGCTAGAAAACAGGAGGTCTTGTGAAGAGCGGAGGGGACAGTTAGGGTGTTTTTTATTGATGTCACATGTATCAGAAAAGTCAATGTTTCGGGGCCACGCAGGGTCCCTTCATCAGGGTGACAGTGACTCTCTGTCGTCCTGGTGAAGGGACCCTGCGTGGCCCCGAAACGTTGACTTTTCTGATACATGTGACATCAATAAATGAACACCAAGATCTAAAACGATATTTTCTGAGTGCTGGTGATTCTCCATTTCTCTGAACTTGAAGATACACGGAGCCATCCGTGTTCCTCACTGCGCGCACCACATTAACTATTGGTTCCAGACGCTGTAAGGAGTGCAGGATAAATATCTATACAACCCAGTTAGCAAGCAGAACTGATATAACAATTACTTGTTTTGCCATATTGCAAAGGTGTTTAAATTGCAGGGCTGGCAAAGCAGAATTAAAAATCCTGACGCGATGTGGCGTAAAGTGAAATATGTTTTCTTATCTTCTAGGCTGATTCCTATCCTGGTTAATGGAATGAAATACAATGAGATTGATATCATTCTTCTGAAGGTGAGAATGTGTTACTTTTCCTTTCAGGGGAACCTAGAAAAAGACTATAACTAATTGTTGGAGCATTGTTCTTTAGGTATCATTTACCTGGGACAAATAATAAAAATAGAAACTACTTGCAGTTCCCGGTGATTTTTATTCGTTAGCATGCAGTAGAAATATAACTTCTAAAGGCCAGCTCAACCCTAGAAACAGTAGAGGCCGACAGCTGATCCAGGAGACTAGTAGAGGCAGATTGTAGTTCTGTTGTGTGAAGGAAGGCATTCCTGGCAACCCTCTTTATTTTCTTCCTCATCCTCCTGGAGCTTCGGAGGGCTTTGAGCATCTTCATTTAAAGACAGAGAAGGGGAGAGGATGGGCACAGCTGGCTCTGGCTGTAGAGAGGCAGAGCTAGCTGTCAATTAGGCAGTGGTGGAACCTGACAATATTGTGGGGATCGCTCTTGGCTGTAGTATGGCTCTGCTCTGTCAGCATATAAAGGGCAATGGCCCGCTTTTTGCTTAGTTTGGGTCACAGGAATACATTAGCAAAAATAAGGTTTGACTGTAGATCTTTTAATTTACATGATTAAAGGGGATAAGGTTTATCTATGTACTTTAAAGAGTCCCTGTCACCAGACCATTTTATTTTAACAAACATTTTTCTATAAGATTATGTGTGCAGGCAACGTAAGCTCTGAGACTGCTGCTGTGCACCATTATCTTGGATGTAATGGCAGCAGTCCCAGCAGACTCTCAGGTCTTCGGTCAGGGGAGGGAGGTGCTGTGGACAGAAGACAAGTCACCCTGCACGAGGAGAGCGAGCAGCAGTGAGCGGTCTTTATTACAGGAGGGGGTGGATACCAGACCAGTCACCCTGCACAAGGAGAGAGCAGCAGTGAGCGGTCTTATATTACAGGAAGCTCCAAGTCTCACTGGATTACTGCACAGATCTGGAACAAATACACAAAGCTCACAAAGATTCAAGAACACACATGACTCTTGTATGAGGACAGTATTTGCTTATTCCCAAGTTCAGCTTTAAGTTGATGACTGGGTCTGCTAGTAGCCATTATGGCATAACTCCAAAGCATAACAAAGCCACCTAAAAGAGTTCATTTACTTCCTTTAATCAGGGAGATGTTGAGGAAGATGAAACCGTCCCAGACAGTGAGCAGGACATCAAGCCTCGCTTCCACAAGTCGCGCACTGTGACACTACAACACGAGGAAGAGCGGGCAGAAGGAGAGGACGACGCAGATGAGGAAGATGATGACGATGATACGTTATCTGACTGGAATCTCAGTATGTACCATTGTTACAATTCCCAACATGTGTCACTGAAATGATGGAGAATGCTTGTCCTGAGTTATGCTGAGGGTCTTTGTATTCATACTGGCTGATCTTGTATTCCAAGTCACGAATGCTAATTTGTTTACATTACAAAGTGAATGCAGCTTCCTGCTTTTCTTGTAGGGAAATGTTCAGCCGCAGCTCTGGATGTCCTGGCCAATGTATTTCGGGAGGAATTGCTTCCTCACCTTTTACCCCTTCTGAAGGATCTCCTCTTCCATCCGGAATGGGTCATAAAGGAGTCGGGCATACTTGTTCTCGGCGCCATCGCTGAAGGTCTGTTTTTAATGTGTATTTTGTAAAATGTTATCAGAACGGTTTTGTGTTTTGGCACCGGGGTTCACTTACTTTCAGAATACTGCATTGGGTTGTATGTTCTTCTTGTCGTGTGTGTAAAATATAATTTGATCAGTGGCTGGCAGATGGTGATCGGCTGCATATTTCCTGTACATATGGCAGCTATTTAGCAACTGCCTCTTGGTCTCTCAATCTCGTTAAAGTTTTCTGTGATACTGCAGTCAGCCAGTGGAAATGTTCCAAGGCTAGGCCAGAAGTAGCACGCGTTCCAATCGGGCTGGCTTAAAATCCAACACGATTCTTTCTTTACTCTAAGCACTAAGTTGACTCTAAATTGTTCTACTTCTTGGCACACAGAGCTAAAATTGAGCACACTTCTGGTAGCCCTATGCTAATAGAGTTTTCATTCAGCTTGTTGGCTGAACAAATAAAATCCAATGGACTCCTCCATCCACGCTAGACAACGGCTATTGTATTCTGACACTTGGCACCTGCTGTTGTCAGAATATATCAGGTGGTGGGCAACTGCAGCCCTCCAACTGTTTGTGGAACTACATGTCCCATGAGGCATTGCAAGACTGACAGTTACAGGCATGACTCCCAGAGGCATGTTGGGATTTTCCCACCCCCTGGAATACTATAATAGTAGCAAATTATTCGGCTCGTCTTCATTGGGAAAAATAAAGTCTTGAGTAATTTTTTTGAGTGGTTTTTGAAGGGGGGGGGGACACCTCCACTGATCTATATTGAGTTATTTAAACAATACTGTAGCAGTATTTCCCCCGCGGGTCCAGTGGGAAAACAATCTGGTTAAAACGCTGAAATCTGCTCCATTGCTCACTGCATCTGAGCAATACACTTTCTGTAACAGTTTCTGGTCGTATCCATGTTCTCCTTTATATCGTGCTTCTGTTGATATTTCCAAATATTTTGATACCTTAGCATTGTAACATCGGTATATAATTTTTCTGTCCTTTTACAGGCTGTATGCAGGGAATGGTTCCCTACTTACCGGAGCTCATCCCTCACCTCATCCAGTGCCTGTCGGATAAGAAAGCTTTGGTGCGCTCAATAGCTTGCTGGACTCTGAGTCGCTATGCCCACTGGGTAGTCAGCCAGCCTCCTGACCTCTACCTGAAGCCCCTCATGACAGAGCTGCTTAAGCGCATCCTGGACAGCAACAAACGGGTGCAGGAAGCTGCATGCAGGTATTACTGTCAAAGGGAACTTTCATTTTCCTTGAATCAACTAAGCAATTAATGCTAAAAGTTCACAATGGAAGCATTTAGGACTGTGGAAATTAAAGATTAATTTCTCGATTTAATCCTTAAACTCTTTGATCAATTAAAATTATTTTGATCGCTAATGAAAACACTCACCTCTCAGCAGGCTTCCGGGAGTCCCGTCGGCGATCCGGGGACGTCACGGACATCGACGTCACCGGACTCCTCCCCCTTCCCCAAGTGGCTCTGTCGGCTAACAAAGGGAAGGGAGGAGTCCGTGACATCACCGGACTCCTCCCCCCTTCGTTAGCCGACAGATCTACTTGGGCTGGTGAGTTTGCCCAAGAAACTTTCTGCACGAGCGCCATGCAAGGCATTGGCCTATACACATACAGCACAGCAATGAAGTAATAAAATGAACTAGGATCACACTAATCCAGCACGTTATTATTCTGAGTTGCCCCACTCAAGCGGCGGCCATATTGAGTGGGGCACGTGAGATTAATAACGTGCTGGATTAGTGTGATCCTAGTTCATTGTATATCTTGCTGTGCTGTATGTGTATAGGGCAATGTAGTTGGATCTGTATGTGCGTTTATAATTTTTAAAAATTTCGATCGAACACTAAAATGTTAATCATTACCAGCCCTAGAAGCATTGTATTTGTGTACCTGCACTCTGCTCTCTCCATTTGCACCTGCTCTGTTTACATTGGAGATTAAACGGTTGGAGTGTTTCCAAGTCATTGCTTGCAGGGGAGTGCTCAGCTGTCCCTTCTAGGGAGTGGCTACTTTTGTTCCCCATGGTCCCTATGTGTGTGGTGTAAAGTAGCCACCAAGCCAAGCTCGCTCCTGGGATTGGCTACGATCTCAATACAAAGGACTAAACTGAATGTGAGATTGTAGCCCATCCCGGGAGTGAGCATGGAGCAGGTGGCTACTTTACAACACACACAGGGACCATGGGGAACAAAGTAGACACCCTCCAGAAGGAGGGACAGTGTCAGCACCAATTCAGAGATGATTTTGAGTATCTACAGCAGAGTAATACACAAATAAGATACAGTTTTGTTAATAAGGTACATGAATGCGCATTTTTTAAGATTTACCTCCAGAGTTTAGTGTCACTTTAAAATCGTGTAAGTATTTGTCCATATCCTGGCCACGATTCTACTTAAAGGAATTGTTCATTAACTAACCCTGTTTTCTTCTCTCCCCAGCGCATTTGCCACTCTTGAGGAAGAGGCGTGCACAGAGCTTGTTCCGTATTTAAGCTTTATCTTGGACACACTGGTGTTTGCTTTTGGAAAGTATCAACATAAGAACCTCTTGATCTTATATGATGCCATTGGGACCCTGGCAGATTCAGTTGGACACCATTTAAATCAGCCGGTGAGTTATATAATGGCGGCAGATGCTGTAATGTGTTGTGTTGCTAAGTGACATTTGGATCCAGACTTTAGTAGAGTGAGTCTCTGGAAGTGATGCAGATATGGCATTTGAAGTTGTCTGATGATGTCTCCGTATTCATACTGTCTGATCCAGGGAGAGTTTGTTAAATTCCAACTCCTCACTCACCAAAAAGATTTAGGAAACAAGACTAAGTATATGGTTTTGTAATTTAGTATGTACATGAGAGCAGCTAACTTTGCTCATAACATGCAGTTTCTTCTTTATGCTTTGCAGTACTGAATAATGATTGTGAGCTTGATGCAAATCTATCAGGGCAGAGCAACAAGTTCACAAGAATAGTGGCTGCTCCTGCTGCTAATTACTTTACTGCAGTATAACTTTTTTTCTACGCTCCCAGGGGCCTAATGGAGGACCGGTCATGTGGCCAATAATGAACAAGCTGTCTCGTGTCTCTAAAACTGTATATAAGACCTTTCTATAGGAAATTAACCATTAAGGAAAAAGAGATCCACCTACCCTCTTCCAGATGTCTGCTTTGTGTTTATGGAAAGCAATATGAGTCCCTCTGCACTCCTCAGTGTTCCAGGCCCAGAAATATGAAGATGTTGCTCATAGTGATAATCACGGATGGCGCCGTGCGCATCAACAATGAAAAGCAGAAATCGCCAGCACTCGGTAATTAATGTTCAGATAAATGTCCATTTCATCGGACCAGTCGTCACACATAACATAATACCAGCGTTTCGGGCCGCACAAGGTCCGTTCATCAGGGCAATAATGTGACCCTTAATGTGGTCACATTATTGCCCTGATGAAGAGACCCGGTTGCGGCCCCGAAACTTTGGTATTCTGTTATCTGTGACGACTGGTCCGATTTAAATGGACATTTATTTATCTGACCATTAATTACTGAGTGCTGGTGATTCCTGCTTTGCATTGCTTTGTGTGTATAGTAGTTGGGCACAGTAGACCCACTGGTTCACATTCCTTTTCTCTTTTTTTTTTTCCAATTCTTTTCCGAACAAAGATCAATAATCTGTATACATCTCTAACTATGGTTTATGTCCTCTATTACAGGAGTACATCCAAAAGCTGATGCCCCCTCTTATCCAGAAATGGAATGAGCTGAAAGATGAAGATAAGGATCTGTTCCCACTGCTAGAGGTGAGCGTTCTTCCTTTTATTGTGACAGGCAACTAGTAATCACTGACAAAACTTTTCCTGGGGTTTGATGTAGAACCAGAAGTCTGAATTCCTCATGTTGGTAGTTGATATTCATACTGTCTGACCTCAGAGCTGCTATTTGCATAATTAGTTTGTCTCTGTGAAATATCTGCGGTGTTCAATGTTAAGGTTTTTTTTTTCTCTGTAGTGCTTGTCCTCCATTGCTACAGCGCTGCAAAGTGGGTTCCTACCTTACTGTGAGCCAGTGTATCAGAGGTGTGTGACTCTGGTGCAGAAGACGCTGGCCCAAGCCATGGTTAGTTGTTTGCAAGCTACTTCTATTTATTTTTCACCCTGTGCCCCACAAATCTTATGGTTCTCTTGTGTCCTTGACAGATGTACAGTCAGCACCCGGACCAGTATGAAGCTCCTGATAAAGATTTCATGATAGTAGCCTTGGACCTCCTAAGCGGGCTGGCAGAGGGGCTGGGTGGCAATGTCGAACAGCTGGTGGCAAGGAGCAACATCATGACTCTTCTGTTCCAGTGCATGCAGGTAAAGTTCCTTTTGGCTTTCAATGGTGAGGAATATGAAATGAAGCAATTTTAGGGGTTTTCTTTCTGGTCTATTGAGGGAAATGTGGAGTCTTAAAACTTTGGGTTATACTTCTGCCTACAGGAGGACTGGCATGACTGTTGGCTTTACACTGGAAGTTATTCAGGCAGCTGTAAAGTCCCCCAATCATTTCTACAGGCTGCTTAATGTGCCCTTGCCTGCCCTCCTAGGGATCTTAACCATGAAGCTAGCAAGAGATCCATCACCCCCATCCTTCACCCAACACTGCCATTTATTTATTACTTGGGAGAAAAGCAGAGAGGGGGGCTCTTACAGTTCCTGTCATGAGAGATATATTTGGGCTGCCATTGTTTGCCTACTTCTAAAAATGATAGGCGCTTGGCTATGTCTGGCTTCTTTAACTCTACACCTGAGAGCATATGCTGCAAATACTTTAAAAAAAGTCAGGATTCATTAACTCTAAACCTATTTCAAGTCAGTGTCTCAGAAAACACTGAAGCAAGAGGGGCAGTATGACAGCTAGGGACTAGCTTTTTTCAGAAAGATGACAGAACAATGGCAGCCCTCGTACATCTCTTTAAAAACCTGCACAATTCAAAGAGGGCATGTAATAAAAAATATACAACAGGTTGCCTTCTGTGAAATCCACATGTTAAGCAGTCGAAATGTCAAGTCTTTTATATGAATTACTCCTAAGCCTACTTTTCTGGCTAGTGAGGCCACCCACCTCATTAAAGGACCAGAGCTAAGGCTCTCTATGCAAGAGGAAATTGTTGCACCTAACTGCATGGTTGCTAAAAAACCCCACATTTTTTTTCCCCCTTCGTTTTCAGGACATAATGCCAGAAGTTCGACAAAGTTCCTTCGCTCTCCTGGGTGACCTGACTAAGGCTTGTTTCCTTCATGTAAAACCGTGCATATGTAAGTATCGCTTTTAAAGAGCATGGCTAATAGTTTTGTGTTCTTTCTTGTGATCAGGATTAAAAAAATTGCTGTGTTGTGCAGTAGTCTGTCCATCCAACAGATGGAGCTCTGACCTCATTTTTACATAATGAGTCTCCAATGAGCTGCAGTGCAAGCTTTGATTGTGCTGCTTCATCAGCTAACCCATAGTGCTTTGGGCAGTGTGTATGTGTGATGAATTAACTATAATAATGTAGACTTAAATCCGGTATGGTGTTTGTATAATGGAGGCCATAGACTCCCCTTTCACCCATCCCTCTCCCTCTCTAACCCCCCTCCCTCCCTTCAATTTGTAGAGAGACTTAAGCCCAGCTTACATAATGGACCTCCTCTTTGTTGGCCTGTTTAAAGGAAACCTTTAGAAATTTGAGCCTGCCATTGATTTTGAAGATGCTACTTCCTTTGCTATTGATACTATAGAGACTCCCTCCCCAATCCTCTTTCCATTTTTAAAATCTTAAGCCCAAATTAACTTTTTGTTGACTTGTTAAAGGAAACCTTAAGAGAAATATGAGCCTTCCCTTGGATTTAAATATGCTAATTCCCTGGCTATTGATGTAATGGTTCTAATTCTCTGAGCCAAATGAACTGTAACAAATATAAGTAGATCAGGTGTTCTGACTTCACTGGCTGCATTACTTGTTCCAGGACAGCGGCCCAGGAAGTAATGCCAGAAACAGCCAGGCAGTTATAGCTTCCAGGAAGAGTTGAGCATCTGCTGTCTTTTTATCAGTGTTTATAGCTGGTCCAGGGCAATTGTTAACTGCACTCGGACATTTTAGATAGACTAGAGGGTAGAATCAAGAAACCTGTACATAAAATGGCATTCTAACGCCTGACAAAACAAAGTGTTTCATTTCGAATTAACGTCAGCGCTGTGGTAGATAAGTTTGTAGAAGACTCAGATTTTTGGAAAATGGCCGGATTCCCCCGTAATAGTTTTGTATAACAAATGTCTCTCACCTTTGTTTAACAGCGGAGTTCATGCCTATTCTTGGTACCAACCTAAACCCAGAGTTTATCTCCGTCTGTAACAATGCCACCTGGGCCATCGGGGAGATCTGCATGCAGATGGGTAAGGGTAATTGACTTTTATTTTTACCATTAAACCATGCACCTTTTGTGTAAGCCTAAATGTTACTGCCCTTCACCATGCCGGGTCAGTTGAAGGTCAGGAGCTATATAATGAGGATTTTATAGAACATCTACATGGAAATTGATTAACCCTTGTAAAAGGGCTTCCCCCGCACTGCAATAGTCAAGTGCTCATTTTCGTTTAGGGTATAAAATAAGTTACTCACTTTTAGGGATGCACCGATACCGAGTATTTGGGTGACTTCTCTTACTCGCCCAAATGCTCCGATACCTAGCACGAGTACTTCCTGTATCAGGAAGCCAGGCAGCGCATCATTACACGCTGCCCAGTTTCCTGATTGGCCAGGAAACGGCTCCATGCTCTCGCGTCACTTGTGATGAGAGAGCATGGAGCCGGCTTCCCGGCCAATTAGGAAGCCGGGCAGCGTGTAATGATGCTCTGCCAGGCTTCCCGATTGGCCAGGAAGCTAGCAAATCCGGAAGCCCGGCGCCGTGTAATGATGCAGAACCCGGCATTCTGATTGGCTGGGAAGCCGGCGTCATGCTCCCTCGTCATCTCATGAATCATAATAAAGTGACCTTAAAGCATTAGTTTTGTATTGCTGTAGAAAAAATGTGACCTGTCCCTTTAACAAAAAGTATCGGTAATTGGTATCTGTGAGTACTTGATCAAAAGTATCGGTACTCGGTCTTAAAAAAATGGTATCGCTGCATCCCTACTCACTTTATTCTGAGCCTGCTTGCTCTTAGAATGATCCCTGAAGCCCCTCTCCATTGCTGCAGCGGTCTGAGGTCTGCGAGTCATCACATTTCTATACACAGTGGGGGGAATCCATCAAAACCTGGAGCAAACAGAATCTGGAGCAGTTGCCCATGGCAACCAATCACCATCTCTCTTCAGTGTGCTCAGGTAAGATTTAAAATTGAGACAGAAGCTGATTGGCTGCAGTGCAAATCTGCTCCACATTTTGTCTGCTCCAGTTTTGATGAATTCCCCCCAGTGTATAGGATGTGAAGACGCCAAGACACATAACATAGATGCAGCGGAGAAGGAGGGAGCACTGTCACTAGGCCAAAACTAGCAGTGCCCCAAGTCCTGAAGAAAAAATCCCCAGAGATCTGCTTTAATGCCTCATTCACACGAGAAAAGCTGCCCGATACAGCCGCGCACGGAGCTTTACGTGCCGGCCTTTTCTCCTGTGAATGAGGCCTTTAACCCCTTCGTGACCGACGTACAGTGTAAGTCGCCAGCATCAGGGCTGTTTAAACAGACTCCCGGCGACTTCTGCTGCCGGGAGTCTGTTTAAACTTGTAAAGCCGACTGTCAGCTTTACAACAGAAGCGATTCTGGCGACTTACCTGTGTCGCTTCTGTGTCCCAGCATCACCTTAAGAGTACCTGTCACCACCATCTGCTATCACATGGTGGGGCTTGTAAGCCCCCCCATGTGATAGCAGTCAAAGTAAAGTTAAAAAAACAAACCGTTTTTAAAATAAATCTAATTACTGGGGTACTGCAGTTTTTCGCCGTTTCACGGACGCATGCAATTTGTAAACTGGGCATGTTGGGTATCGTTTTACTCGTTGTAACCATCTTTTATATTTCATTTAAAAAATGGGTGTTTTGTTGTGTTTTGGGGCATTTAATTTTAGCACTAAATTTTGGGGTTTAATAAGGAGCTGCGCTAATATTGCGCAACATAAAAATTTGCAACTACCACCATTATATTGTATAGGGTCTTGGCATTCAGAAAATATATAATGTTTGGGGGTTCTAAGTAATTTTCAGGCCTAAAATGTGGAATATAACATGGGTGCAAAAAATGAAAAAAAGGCCTCAGTCATGAAGAGGTTAATGCTTCTTCTGTATGGTTTTAACTAAACAAAATAAAGGTCATGTGACGACATAGAAAAATAAACTTAAAAATAGTATGTACACTGCCGTTTTTTATAAAATGTATGCAGGACAAAGGGAGGGAAACATTTTACATTTTTCTGCTTTGGACATTGTTGTGCTTTTATTGCTGCATACAATTTACCTGAGTATTGATGCATTTATGAAAACAGCTGTCTGTACTGTGCATTGGTCACGGGTCGTCTGTATTCTATGAATGACCACTGTCTTGTATTTCCTACCAACAGGAGCGGAGATGCAGCCATATGTCCCTATGGTTTTGAATAACCTTGTAGAAATTATTAACCGACCCAACACACCCAAAACTCTTCTTGAAAACACAGGTTGGTTAACTTTAATTTACATTTTCTTAGTTGTGGTGCCACCTGTCACTTAGATATTTATGCATATAATTTTTTTTTTTTTTTGGATAATCTTTATTTGTAGCGATTACCATCGGACGTCTTGGCTGTGTGTGTCCCCAAGAAGTAGCTCCCATGCTGCAGCAGTTTATCCGGCCTTGGTGAGTGTGATATACATTTGCTGTGATGCACGATTGCTTTTCTTTTGCTATTTCTCAGGATTTTCACTTTAAATTTATATTATTTTACAGGTGTACCTCACTTCGGAACATTCGTGACAATGAGGAGAAAGACTCTGCTTTCAGAGGGATCTGTATAATGATCGGTGTCAATCCGGGTGGAGTTGTACAGGCAAGTTTTATAGATGTAGATTGTTACTTATAGAATTTCATTTGCAGCTAAGATTTAAAGTAGAACTGTATAAAGCACTGTATTTTTTTTTTACATTATTAGTAAAATCTAATAAATTTTTTGTTTTTGCAGGACTTTATCTTTTTCTGTGATGCCGTAGCCTCCTGGGTCAGCCCGAAAGATGATCTGAGAGACATGTTCTATAAGGTGAGTGGTGAGGTTGAGGCTTTACTTCTACTTTATACACCGACCACATAGGGTCTGATGTGGAATGAGGAGTCTTGCATAGCATATGTCGCCTACCTCAAATTAATGTTAGAGGCACTGTGGGGCTGAAATGGCTTTTGGCAGTATGTGGCCTTTTCTGTTTGGAGGGCCCATTCACACCACATCCAGATTACCTCCAGACTGTTTCCGGACTCAAAATGCATCCCTATGCTATTTCTGGCCTCTGTTCACACCAGCGCAGTCCGTTCTGGACCAGACCAGAAAAATACTGCTTGTCCTATTTTGTCTGGTCTGGAATGCACCTGTAAGAGCATTTTAACCTCCATGGCGGTATTCCCGAGTGTGGCTCGGGGTTAATTTTCAGTACCATAAGTGGGGGGGGGTGGAACTGGCGGGAATTTTAAAAGTTAAGAAAAAAACAAACTAACAAAAAAAATATATAATAATCCGACTGCCAGGGAGTTTAAGTTAAAAAAATATTTAATTTTTTTTTTTATTCAAATTGCGGCAAAAATGCAACGCACTATGTTCCAGATCTGGTCCGGAAAATGGTGTGAACCCAGCCAGAAGGTTGTTGAGCTTATGAGTGAACAACTAGTTTGAAGAGGAACTTTACCCAGCAATGAGTTACTTTTAGGGCATGTTGACTGTCATGATTGCCAGTGTGCTTATCTCAGCTCTCAACCGAACTTTCTTGCCCTAAAATGGCAACTGCAATCTAAATAGAGGCCAAGATGGCACATTCCTTGGTTAGGGATAGGAGGCTGTAGTTCTGCTTTAAAATATGCCTAGGCAAAATAACATATTTAGTACATCCCTGTAAAACATGCACATTTTCCAATGTTTTGTGTCTTTTAAAAATGCAGCTATAGAGTAGTGCTTGACTACACTGTCTGAATACTTATAGTGGGAGTACTGTTAGTATTGTTCTGAGTGCTCCATCTACTATGCATATGTTCCTTGATGGCTCGTTATGGATGGAATTAACCACTGCCTGGTATACTTATTAATTTGAAGTAATGACGTTTGTTTTAGAAATGTAAACCTTGCTAAAGTTAATAAAAAAATTTTGAAAAAATGCGGCTAGTACAGAAAAATACCTGGTAATCCTGCCGGGAATTCTGTGAGCCAACTTCTGTTCACTCTACCTTTGCTACACTGAAAACCCAAGCAGTTTTATCTGTCCTGACCAGTTCTTTGTGGACATCTCCTCCTCTTTATGATATTTTAGATGGGGGGGGGGGGTTATTCTTTAGTTGTAAAATGCTTCCTGTCTTAGGGTGACTATGTTGCTTCTCCATAGAGAGACTTCAGTGTCTGTCACCCTAGGACAAGAAGTGTTACTGGCAGAATCATCTGTAAGGATAAAGGGGCAGTCACCACATTTTTAAGGGCTGGTAAAGCTGTAATATGTTACATCATTGCTGTTGGGTTTTGTTATACTTCAAGCCTTTTTATTCTCTTGTGTCTAGAATGTAAGTAATAGCTATAAGCATGGTGACATGTAGTGTCTACTGCAACCTGCTTAGCTGAAACTATTTGTAAAATGGCTTCTATGCGACGCGACCCCTGAAACAAATCTTGTGTTGCTTTTTTCTTTTTAGATTTTGCACGGTTTTAAGGAGCAGGTGGGAGAGGACAATTGGAACCAATTTTCTGAGCAGTTTCCACCTCTGCTGAAGGAACGTCTAGCTGCATTCTATGGCGTGTAATGTGAACAGGGGGAGATCTACACACACCCAGCGTGGGAGGTGAGATGGGTAAAGAGTAGGCAATGGGGAATGGTATAAACGGTGCCCATTATACAAAAACTCTTCTGTGATGGAGGATTTATTGCTCTTGTATGGACTTGACCTGGCAGTGCAACTGAAGTCCGCTTTTTAGAGAGGGATTAGAACAATGATCAGGTTTGTATTGCAGTCTGTGTTCCACCTTCTCCATTTGTCATCCTGACTGTTGTCACTGAAAGAAAATCCTACATTTTGGGTAGTCGGTAAAGGGAAGGAATGGGAATCCTCCCATGGGGAAACTTTCTGGTGACCCTGCTGACCACCAGAAATTTCCCTTTGGAAGGATTTCCGTTTTCACTTCCTGTCCTATAGCCATCATAGGAAGTAATCTCCCCAGTGGCAAAAAAAAGGTGATAGGGGTTATAATCCTCCCTTACTTTATCCTAAAGTACTGAAGTGTGCCACCTTTAGCATGATTCAGATTGTTCCCTGTGCTTGTGTGGAACCTCTTGTATCCTAGACTCAGTCTAAACTAGTGGCCTTCAATTCTGCTAAAGTTCATATCGAACTCTGGCCCCTGTCACTGCTAAGCTTATTCACTAAAGCTCTGGCATTCGATAGAACAGCGCAAGCTGTGGCATTTGATTGTTGAATGACTTAGTGCCCTGAGGACAAGCTTTATCCTAACACATGCAGGATTTGAAACACCGTGCGCAGCCTGGGCCTTGGATCCAATAGACTTCAATTTCAAAGACTTAACACCGATACTTGGAGGCACCACACAGTTCTGAACTGTTCTACCTAAGGAATGTTTTAGGTCAGGCTTTGTTTCTATTATGGCCTGCTTTTTTCTATCTCTTGGTTTGTTCATGGTAAGCCTATGCAAGAAAGCAGTTATTACATACACAAGGTGTATACTTGGCCTACTTGGATTTCCCTAGGTGAAAAGCCTCAAAAACAAGTTATTGTGTAACTTCATTGCCAACTGATAATTCTGGAGAAGCAACTTAACTAGCCTTCTTACTAGTGTAGCTGAGCCGAGTATTTGAGCGATGACTCGTATTCGCCCAAATGCTCCAATGCTTGGCCTGATACTTGAGCTTCACGGTATCACGAAGCCGGGCAGTGAGTCATTACACGCTGCCCGGCTTACTGATTGGCCGGCTGCATGCTCCCTCGTCACCTGGTGAAGAGGGAGCATGGAGACTGCTTCCCTGCTAATTGGAAAGCCAGGTGGCTTCCTTTAATGGGGCTATCGGTTTTGGCAAGTACCGGAAAAAAACATATCGGTACTCAATACCGAAAAACCGTTATCTGTGCATCCCTAATTCATACTATATTGGTGCACTGACCCAAGGGTCAGGATGTCCGCTTCTCGTGTATTGAGGATTGTGACCGATTCCCTTTTAAGATCCATACACACCTAGTGACTTAAGGGAAGATAATTGCTTTTTTTTGTGTGGCCCATTCAGGCCTCTGCTCTACTGTGTGTTGGGGAAAGTAGTAGAGGTGCGGTTTTAGCACGTCAACTCATGTTTTTGGACCCCTAGACTTCAATGGCAGCGTGTGAAAAACATATCTTACTATGCATAGACCACAATGACCCCACCAACTGCGTCGCCGGTAGAACAAAGTTGCATAGCTGCTTAAATGAAACTAAAAAGTACTTCCTGCTGTAAAGTTTGAGGATGTGTTACGCTACAGTGGCTGCAGCTAGTCAGCGAGAATCGGTTTTAAAGCTTGTGCTGCTTTTTAGAATATGTAAATTCTTAGTGTGCCTAGGGTATAAACATTTAACGATGCTGAGGATCCACTTTTCTTTTTTTCTCCCCGCAGGTTCCTGTTTGATCTATGAGGTGATTGGGGAGAATGGTGTCCTACGCCCCACACATCAAGTCTTTAGCAGGGTTTCAGGGATCAGTATCCAGGGCCAATAACATCCTTCCACTCCAGACTCCATCCACCTGACTCCCAAGAAACCTCAAAGGAGCACAGGAGGACGTGAACACCATCATCAACACCCTCCCGCCCCCCCCTCACCCCCAGGGATCTTTTTAGTTTATATGTGGAGCATGAGGGGAGTCGAGTCTTAGGATTTACATTGTTACCCTTGTAGGGTGGGGGTAGGGGGATGTACTGGGGGGGCAGAGCTGGTCCCACGTCAGGATCTGTTATTGGGCGGGTAAGAGGAGGGGTTGGAGGGTTAGACTAAATAGAGTGGGAGGGAGGAAGGGGCATCTACAGGTAGAGACATTTGATTGTTCCCCTGCAATTCAGTGCAGGTTAGAGTCAAACATTTAAAAGCAAAAACTAAAAAAAAAAAAAAAATTCACAGAAGAATAGGGGTTGCAGCCACAGAAAGGAAGGTCGGCCACCTTTTAAAAGGCCCAGAGCCAGAGAGAAGGGGAGAATTGTGAAGCTACGCGCTAGATACTTGGCTGGCCTGCTTGGGAGAAGTATGAAGTATCTTGTTGATTTTGCTCCCATGCCAGTTTGCACAAAGGTTAACTAGCTGACTAAATGTCATCCTTGTTTTCAGTTAACAACCCACCTCCCCAGCTGCCAGAAGTGTTTATGCGTATCTTTTGACATTTAAAAAAAAACAAAATATCTTCACAAGTAGATCGAGTCAATAATTCAAGATTAATGTGAGAATTTAACGTGCTGCTGCTGTGCTCAAGCCATTCCTTTTGCTTGCACTCTTACTAACAGCTGCCAGGTAAATGGGGTCCGAAAAGCAGAGCTAGCGAAGGGCCCCTCTAGTGGCCACATTAGGTTATTGCAGTTGTATTGCACTATACAATTTTTGGTAGGTATTATTTCTGCACGGCTAAGGCTCCTGGTACACAGGCCTCAAGCATGCTGAGCTTGACACCACAGTACATCCATTTTGCAATCATGTGGCAGTCTATAGTAATACCTTGGTTCGCCTCTGGCGGGAGCAGCGGTTGCCGTTTACACAGAGAAGGTCTGTGTTACACTGGGACGCAACTGTGCACAGTTTATGGTCTTTGAAAACAGAAGTACCTCACATTAAAGGAAACGTTTCCTGAAAGGGAATACAGGGGCTGTCAATGCTGATCCCTTCTGAAAGTGCTGGCTGTCACGCTGACCCTATAGCTTTAGTATATATCGCTGACATTGAACATGTGTGCTCATCTGCAGTTTGTACTTAATTTACTGCATGCTTGTTCCTGGACAGTAACACTAAAAGTATTAGTCGGAGGATTGGCGCTTACCTGCAAGACAAGTTGCATTCTGAGGAGGTGATTGGCAAAGGCAATAGTCTCTTGGGTTTGGGTAGTTTTATACTCGGGTCAGTCAGCTGCTATTCTGTTCCACGGTTTTCATATCTCCAGAGAAAACTTGTAGCAGACCACGTGTAAGGTGCTCCAAAGCAACAAAACACTCCCATTGACAGATGGAATTATTCAGTGACCTACAAACAGCAGTGACCCTTATCACATGTCGCCATTCTTTAGAACCGACAGCAGCATGAGCAGTGACTGCTGGTTGGATGGTCAGCTTTGCCCGAGTCTGATCCTCAAGGCTCCCTAAGGCCAAGCACACTCCAGCACTAGGTCCTGGCACGCAGACTGCTGTCAGAAAAACATCACATTCAGCAGAACACATGTGTACAGGATATTGAACTACCCTGAGCAGCCTTTCATTCCAGTCTGTGAGTGCTAAGTGGAGATCTTTTTTACGAGTACCGGCTGCAGATTTTAAAAACAGTTTTGTGGAGACGTTCGGGGTGTGCTCTGGAGATGATTGCTTAATGTAAGTAGCTCTCATGCCCCCCCTCCCATTCCTTTCTGGTAGGTCTGAACAGATATCTTAATTGGAATGCTGGCTGCAGTTTTAACAAAGCACCAGGCTGAACTTTGCATATGATTACGAAGTGTCTGCCAAAAAGGAAAACTTAACGATGGTTATTAAGTATATAACTGCAAAACCAAGTGATTTTGTGGTTATTGCTGAAAAAACAAATTTTTATTTTTCAAACTGCGGCCATCAGAGTTTTCTAGAACTGACAAAAAAAGTGGATGCAATGTGTTGTATGCCACTGGTTGTTACATCAAGCCTCCAGCCATGTTGTGATTGACTCCCTGCTTTTAATAGCGGTTTCGCACAATTGGACTGGTCATGTGACTACAGCGGAGCGCCGCCTCCTATTTAGGAAATGGGAAGTGAGTGCAATATGTGTCACAGCAGCAAGTACAAGGGCAATACTCGTTTGTTTATAGCAAACACCACTCAAATTGCAAGACCAGCTCGCCCTGTGATTGTATCCCAGCTCGCCCAGTGCTTGCATCCCAGGTGCAGGCAAACAAGCGCGCCACCGCCTATAGCACTAGCAATACTAGTTTGCTAGAACTGTTGCAGTGTATGTAACAGACATGAAGATTATTTTCTTTTCCTCAAGAAAAGCTGGATAACACTAATGTCATGCTCTTCACACCATGGGTTTTTTTTTTTAAGCCAAGATTTAAACTATCAGCTCCAAAATGCAAAAATATTTTCCAGTTGCATCAAAGCAAAAGGTGTTCAATGTCTTTTTAAGGTTGTTTTGTTGCTAAGGCAGCCACAGCCTGGGTAGAGAAGCCTGTTCCCTGCCAGCAGTTGCAAATTGGAACCCTTACTGTCTGTGGGGAAGCAGTAGTCTTGTTGCAGAGGTTCCCTACGGAGTCTGACCTGCAAAGCTTTTGCTTCATGCTGATTGGAGAGCTCTGGCTCTGAATTAGCAGGGGGGCAGGTTGGACCTCTGCATAGAGATCACTGTTTCAACAGAGAGAGCAAGGGTCCCACTCTGTAACATGCTGGCAGGGGACAGGCTTTTGTACTTGTAAGTTGTGGCTGGTTTTTAAAGGAAACAAGTCTTTACCCACCGTTTGTTTTGATGCGCCTGGAATGTACTCAGCTAATAAAAACAAATGAACATTAATTTGGGCTTTTAAACTGCTTGTGGTTATTTAGCCAAATTGGGCATGTTTTCCAACAACCAAGTCCTGCACAGTTGCTTTCAAGTAAATCTGACGTGGCTTAAAACATTGCTAAAGTTAACACTGCTGAACATCCTGTACCTTTTGCACACTTCTATTTAGTTTCCACCTTTTTGTGGAGCCAATCGCATCCTAGGCTGCTCATGGGCCCTTGACGTCTGTCCATATTAAGATTAAGGACTTGCTCCCTCCAAAGCTAAACCTAACCACTGTAACTTGACTTTTAAATTTCAGTGAACAGTACGAGACCCTGGCATTTTAAAAGTTGAATGCTGGAGGTAGGGCTTTGTTCTGGGAGGGGTTGGGGCTGAATCTTAACGAGCAGATATCAAGACCCGGTGTAGTCTTGGCTTGGAATCCAAGGGGCTACCCAAGGTCATAGGTGTAAGTCTGCAAGGTAACGGTAGTACCAGAGCCACTGCAAGGTGGTGGGGCTGAATCTTAGCTTGGGCAGATATCAAGATCCCATGTAGAGTAGTCTGAGCCTGGAATTCAATGGGCTACCCAAGGTCACAGGTATAAGTCCGTAAGGTAACAGTGGTACTGGAAGTCACTGCAAGATGGTGGGGCTTAGTGCTTGGAGAAGAGGGGGGGGGGTTTAACTTGGGAATATATCAAGACCCCATGTACAGTCTGGGCCTGGTATCCAGGGGGGTCTCTGGTTTCATACTGATGCCCATCAGCTGTACTAGAAGATACCGCAAGGTGTTGCAATACAGTGCAGATGTAATGAAGATTATTTTTTAGGAAATGCCAGTACAATTTAAGATCATTTTACATGATACCTTCCAGGAATGACACAGGTACAAGGTGCTGCACTTCAGCAGTGTAACTTTACAAATGTCAAGCCTGGTCCGGTTCACTTTCTCTTGGTAAGCTGCAACCGTTAAATCTCCCACGAGGCCTGCAAGGAAAACCAAATGCGGTTTTGGTATGTTGACAATAAGCCTTTGGGCTTGGTATGAGTTACTGAACTTGGCATGTTTTACTTTGCCGTATTAAGATTAAGGTCTATGCTAAAACATTCCACTTTTTCTTTCCCCTAGCAGCTATAGAAATATTTTAGGACTGATTGGATTTTTCAGGGCATAGGTAAGAATGAAGGCTGACATTGGAAGATTAGAGGGATAGTAATCAGGAGGAGGTGGTGGTGGCGGCGGCAGGTAATGGCTCTAGGTGTAGTATGTGTTTAGGAAGGCTTAAATGGACTACAGAGCAAATGTGAACTTGCTTTCAAGGGGGAAATAATGACGGTTTGCAAACGAGATGGTTTACAGACAAGTGTAGTGTGAGCTCCTGGGCCAAGATGACGCTAGCGCCCACTCATTACCATCCTCACTTCCTGTTTTGTACAGTAGGGCACACCACTAGGCTCCAGTTAAATTCTGGGACTGTATATTGGTATTTGTGATGTAATGTTTCCTATGGTAAAACTGCAGTGTATTTAGTGTAAAGCCGTCTGCTTGCACCTTTGCTCAGATGAGAATTATATTCTCATTTTATGTATATTTTTTTTTTTCAATATTTTTTTTGTTAACTAAAATGCAGTTTTTTTGTGACTGTTTTGTGTCGTGTTTTTATTTGGAAATGGATATAATTGGTCTTTAGTGACAGGTTACAGTGGACCCATGCACTACAACTCCATCTAAGTTAGTACTGCTAGAGTATTTCATTTGGAAGACTTGTCTTTGTTTGGAAAAAGGGTCCCTGGGCTTCTTGTGGTAACAAGGCATGTGCTTTTAGTGGGGCTCACCTGTCTGTCAATGGTTGGTCTTCTGCTTCAGAAACCATGTCACTTTTTTCTAGTGAAGGGCTTTGTGCACAGGTACGTAAGACATGGTTTGATGAATTTGGTGTGGAGGAACTCCAGAGGACTGCATGGAGCCTTGAGTTTAGCTTTAGGGCCCATTCACACCACATCCAGATCATCTCCAGACCAGATTGTTTCTGGACTCAAAATGCATCCTAATGTATCCTTATGCTGTTTCTGGCCTCTGTTCACACTAGTGCAGTTTGTCCCAGACCAGAAAAATACTGCATGTCTCATTTTTGTGTGGTCTGGAATGCACTGCATATGTGGGCCATATCTGGTACAGAAAATGGTGTGAACCTGCCCTTAAGAAGAACTCCAGGAAATGTAAAAATAAACCCTAGCAATGGGTCTTCTGTTGCACTGCAAGGTTTAACTTCTTGTTTTGGTCTAGGGCAGGGGTGGGCAACTCCAGCCCTCCAGCTGTGCTTTAACTACACATCCCAACATGCCATGCCTCGTTGGGACTTGTAGTTCTGTAACAGCTTGAGGGCTGGAGTTGCCCACCCCTGGTC